GCGGGGAGGAAGCAACTTACCCTCCCTCTTCTCCTGCCTCCTCCTGGCTGAATGAGGGCCGGAAGTGGGGCGGCCGGAAGCGGGGGGCGGAGCTTCATCATGTGCCCCACCCCCCTGCACCGCACCCGGGGGAACTGTGTTCCCCCGCGTTCCCCCTCGAAATGACCTCTGCTTGGAAGTAAATCTCACGTCGTTTCAGTGGATCTTACTGTCAAGTAATTATGCTTAGGATATACACTGTTATGCTCATTTTACAGCCAACCAAAGCTAGAAAATAACACTTCACCCATGAAGGGATATTTAAACTGAACACTGCCAACTTCAAATTCAGCTCATTGGCTGTTTTAAGAAGGGGCACCTCCTTTATCTGTACATCTCATGCATTTTATCCCACCCTTTGTCCAACCAACTAAGGGCAGTGTCCAGAGTTTACACCGTTTTACCTTCACTTCAGCCCTGTGAGGTAGATGAAGTTGAGAGAACAAATAGCGCAAAGTAAGCCAGTGAGCCAAGTGGAATGAGAATTTGAACCTATATCTTGTTTATTTGTACCCCATAAGAGGCTGGAACATCTGGCCTCTCTCACCCTCAACTGCGTAAAACAATTAAATCTGTTCAAGTCCCCATACACAGGGAATCACAACTGAAAGATTTATGACAGGATTCACACCAGTCCTCCTCTCTCTACTCCAGTGTCTCCTCTTTCTCTCCTCCTCTTCTGTGATTTTTCTTTTTTCAAAAAGTTCCAAAATGATTTTTTCCCCTTTCACATCCCACAAAAACTCAAGATGGAATAAACATTAATCTTTAAGGTGCCACTGACTGGACTTCAGTTTTGTTCTCCGCAACTCTAGTGTGATGTACTGACTGCTACACTTCATTCCTTAGGTATCCCCCCCTCCATACTGAACACTCAGGCAAATCGCATTGGCTCTGCTTCCTACTCATGAGGAGGGCAGTTCCTCATCATCTCCATGTAAATCGAAAGAAGCCCGACTACACGTCTGTGTTCACTACCAGAAGCAGAGATGTTTTATTTTAAGCCAGTCCCTAGGAAAAACGTTTGAGGTGATCTTTGGCTTCCTGTCTTCTGAGTTAGCTGAGCTGTATGGCGTGGAAATAACATCCCTGTAAGCCTCTGTTAAAAGGACAGGGCATTTTTTGCCCAGGCCTGTTGGCATCCCTAAAATGTGTTTATGCGATCAACAATCATTTGGACTGAACTGAGATCTTCAGCTATTTGAATTATGAATTGAGAAGACTCTCTCTCTCTCTCTCTCTCTCTCTGTGTATTCATCCAAGTGTAATCTCTCTGGAATAAATAAATATTTCCCTCACATTTTGTCTCTCTCTCTCTCTCTCTCATTCCTTTCCCTGCCTCCTAGTCTAATGCCACTGTATGCTGGGGAGTAGGGTTGCCAACCTCCAGGGGGCATGTGGTGATCTCCTGCTATTACAATTGCTCTCCAGACAACAAAGATCAGTTCCTTTGGAGAAAATGGCTGCTTTTTAGTGTGGACGCCATGGCATTATACCCTACTGAGCGCCCCCCTCAAAGCCTGCCCTCCCTAGGCTCCACCCACCAAATCTCCAAGTATTTCCCAACCCAGAGCTGGCAATCCTGTTGGGGAGGGGGTTCAGGGATGCCCAGCCCCTACATGTCTACACTCACACCACAGCCAGAGGAAAACTCTATCGCAGAGACCTGCTTTTTTCCCAACTGGTCAAGGACTTCTTGCTTTGTCCTTGTATGATGCAGATAGTGTGTGTGTGATGTGTGTGTGTGTGTGTGTGAAGAAGGGGGCAGCCTGGAGTTTGTTCTGTTGCCACCACCCACCTGCAGTACAGTATTTGTCATGAAAATTTTCAGAAGCCTAAGAAGCACAAAGTGCTTGCTTTGTCAGTCTCCATCCTCCAGTTACAGTGTCTGAATTTTTCTAGCACTGGAAAATCTTCTGTCCTTTCCCCAGGCCCTGCTGGGCAGCTCTCACTGTCACCTGCCCCATGCTCCCTGTCCTGTCCCCCAGCTAAAGCCAGATTTAAATGTGATGCTGGCTAGGCAGAAGATCTCACCCATAAAACTTTATTTTATTTACTTCATTCATACCCCACTTTTCTCCTGGGGTACGAAAGCAGCTCATCTTGTTGTTCTCTCCTCCATTTTATCCTAACAACCAAGCAAGGTAGGTTAAGCTAAGAGCATGTGACTACAGTTACCCACCTCCAGGTGGTGGCTGGAGGTCTCCTGGGATTACACCTGATTTCCAGGTGGCAGAGATCAGTTCTCCTGGAGAAAATGCCCATTTTGGATGGTGGAGTCCAGGGCTTTTTTTGTAGAAAAAGTCCAACAGGAATCATTAGCATAATAGGCCACACCCAGCAGCAGAAACTCATTAGCATATTAGGTCACACCCCTGACTGCACCACTCATTAGCATATTAGGCCACACCCCATGGTCATCCAGCCACACCCACCTTTTGCTTCTTATTCGGCTTACCTTGTTTTGTTGTCAAAACCCAGGACCATTTTTTTGTTGCAGGAACTCCTTTGCATGTTAGGCCACACACCCCTAATGTAGCCAATCCTAATGAGTTCCTGCTGTTGGGTGTGGCCTATTATGCTAATGAGTTCCTGCTGGGTGTGGCCAACTTGGGAGCCAGCCGGAACTCCGTTCCTGTGCGTTCCTGCCCAAAAATAGCCCTGGTGGAGTCTATAGCATTATACTTCATTGAAGTCCCTCTCATCCCCAAACCCTGCCCTCCTCAGTCCCCACCCCCAAAATCTCCAGGTATTTCCCAATCCAGAGCTGGCAACCCTACATAT